TTTAAACCACCAGGTCCAGGACGCGAACCGCGGTAAACTACATGGGAGTCCAGCGACATAGCCATTACGCTAACTGCTGGTTCTCCCCTATTATTTCTTAAAGCGGATTCTGACAGTAGCATTACCAGGTCAAAAACACTAAGAATTTTAAAAGGCTATGTGTGTGTGTGTGTGTGTGTGTGTGTGTAACAAATGTGCTCATCTGTGTTCGTGTGTATGCGTGTGCGTGTATTGCCCTCTAGAAGTATGAACAAAGGAATAACCACAAGCACAGAGAAAAAAAGTGTTCCCCAGCATTTTAATAATCTTCGTGGCTATAGCTACACAAACTACATGTTCTGTAACTTAATAAGATGATGCTACGTCTGATAGGAAAGTACACGGTTCCTTCATTTCCTGTCCTTTACTGTCTATGAAAAATGTTACATGACTAGGGATTTTTTTTTTGCCCTATTTTTGAAGCACAGTACAATTAAGCACAAGTTTGTCATAACATCTAAGCAGTTCACAATTATTTGTTGTTGCTAGCCATATTTCTTCCCATCAATCAATAGAATCCATAAAATAAAATAAGTATGACCATAATAGCATTGACTTGTTTTTCTAGCACACATCATTTGAAATAAATAACTCTGCACAGACTGATAAAAATGAAAATTGTTCTAAGCTCCCTTTATAATCACACTGCAGTCATCAGAAAGTGAACTGTCTCACAGTTAACTCAGAAGAGACAACCAGTCATCCTTTTTAGCAAGAGCTATTAAGGCTAATCATATTTATCTTCCCTCTTCCTCAAATCTCTCAGGCCAAAGTATATTTGTTAATTGGATGTATATCAAATATACAAACAAAGCTTTTTTTTTTTTTTTTTTCAGAGAGAGAATTTTGCTAATAGAACATGTGCTCTCGCTGGAAAGAGAGAGAGAAAGTGAGAAGTCTTCCCAGGGAGGATGGCCATACTGCAATCCCTTCTCCATTATTCTCTCAGAATCTTGGGAATGCACGCACGTGTGCTCGGCATGAGTTTAGGACACTGGGCCAGGACTTGAACTGCGGTCAACTATGTGAGAGTCCAGCAACATAATCATTATGCCATCTGCTGGTCCCCAAAGCTTTTTTGTTATATTTTGGTGGCGGCTGTGATGAATACATGAGAAATAGTTGTCATTGTGGAAGCAAATGAGAAAAGTCAGAGTAACCTGAAGGGCTGCATGCTGCCGGGCCATTGCCCTGCTTGTGTGTAGCCAGGAGAGAAATGCTCCCTGATGATGACTGAGAAGTTCCTCCCAACCTCAGCACACAAATCCACCGCTACTTCCACTTCCCTTCTTCCCCAAGCACTCTGGGTTACTTAATGAGTTTGCATGAAATACAGAAATATTAGAAGAAAGGAGATATCCTGAAGATTCATTTTCTAGAAGATAAAGGGATGATTGAGGTTGTTACTCTGAATTGAATCCTCAACCACAAACAGAGATTGTAAATGACAGGGAACTTAGGAGAAAGTGACCTTGTCATGTAGGAATTCATGATTCTGGTGAAGGCTGAATGCCATCCAATTTGCTATTTGGAATGTGTGCTTCAGAAGCTCAGAGAAGAACTGGCATGAAACAGACAATTCTGTAATTCTGGCTTGCATTCGTATACAATCTTAATTAGAAAAAAAGAGAAGGCATCTAAATAAATGTTGTGGTGTGCAGAATGTTGCCCTTGACAAATTTAGGTTGTAAAAGATGATCTATAGGGTCAGCCACTGGCATGGTGGTTAAGGTGCTGGATTCCACACGGTCGACTCTGTGGTTTAAATCACAGATTCAACAGCTTGAAAAACATGCTGGGCATGTGCACATGTATGCCCCAAAGCCTGAGAGCATAATGGAGGAGAAGGGATTGTGGCATGGCCATTCTCCCTGGGGAGTGATTTCTCACTCTCCCTTTTCCCCTTTCTTTCTATCTTCTTCTGTGTCTCTCTGGGCACACATGCCCTATAGCAAAAACCTAAAAACAAAACAAAACAAAACAAACAAAGAAAATATATATAAAGAACTAGAAAGAAAGATGAATAATAAAGTGTAAAAGGTGATTAAGAAGAATGGCAGGGAAGCAATTAATGCGAAAAGACTACCACACTGCAGGTACCTATGGAACAAGTAGACTGAGAAGGTCTGGCAGAAGAAATTTAACGTGACAGGTAATCTGTTGTTCAAGTCTATTTTTCTCAACACTATTTAATTGTATATGCCAGTCACCTAACCTACTTGTGCTTAATCTCAAGATATTTGTTAGTTCTTATAAATGGAATTACCATAGCTATTCTGATATATTCAGGAGTTCAAAGAAGGTTATTAAATCTTTTTTTCTCTCTCTCTTTCATCTATGTTGGCTTCATTCTTGAGACTGTTTTCTTTATAGGATAGCTTCACTCCAGCCTTTTATCATTCCACTACTCACTGTTGTTTTGGAAGATTTGCTTTTCCTGGTATTCCAGTCAGTACCTTTTCCTCCTTTTGTCCACTCTGAAAAGAGGTTTTATGATTGGCTAGTTTATAATTTATAGGTCACTTGAAGATGGAAGAAAATACTAACTTCTATAACCAAGGAAGAGTTTGTCTGATACACACATGTTCTTTTTTACTATCCAGAGAAATACATTTAATTTGCCTGTTTATATGGAACTGTGGTTCCCTGCTTGTCTCCTCTGAATGGCTTTCAGTTCAAGAGGTCATTTATTCTGGGAACAAACAATCCTTCAGCAGAATGCTTGAAAATGGTAGATACCTTCAAGATGTAGGAGAAACATATGAAGTCAGCAAAATTGGTGGCTATTATAAACAGTTCCAAGAATAAACCCAAACTGTGCATGACAAGTGAACAGGAAGTTGGCATGGCTGCTAGTTGGACTCAAGAATAATTAGTCTTATATATACAGAAAACTTCTCTAGGGACAATGAGTTCCTACCAAAGGAATGTTGCATTACATTTGCCTCTGATAGTTTTTGTTTTCTGTGTATTTCATCAAACAAAAGTTACCAAAGGCCAAAAAAAAGTGTTATTTTTGATTTTGCCTATTTTGGTTTCAGGAGAATTAGAAAAAAATTGCTTTCAAGCATATTTTCATTGCCAATTATAATCTGATGTTCTATATGACTAAATATATTTATGTGTGTATTACTTCGTATTCTTAGTAGAGTTGTAAGATTATCGTGAAGGTCAGAAATGGAACTGAACCATAAAATCTAAATTATAAGCTTCCATTAAACTGTGGAATTAGGATAATAATATGTCATTTCAGGGGATTTCCAAACTGTAATTTTTTTCCCAGGGGCAAAATAGGAACAGAAGAATAGCTTTTGTTTATTCCACCTAAATATTTCTTTGAAATGTGATAAATTACTGTGCCCATTTTATCACCACTTTTCAGGTGTTTGGTGACATCAGTGCCTTCAAGTTTGTCCACAGTGAAGTGATCACAGCTATTCAGGAGCATTTAAATGAAATGGACACTCTACTGAGAACCTCTGTTGATGATAAATCAAGAGAAATGAATCCATTAAAGTAAAAGGTATTTTTTCCCTGCTAGTTAATTAAATACTTAACTCATTGCTGTAGGTGAATGTATTAACTAAGAAGGAACCCTAAGTACTACTTCTTTCTTGTCTTCCAAAATCTCTACCAAGGAAAACTGTTGTGGGTGAGAAGACTATAATCGACTTCTTTTTCCAATTTTATCGTCCTACGACACCTAGTTGACAGGTATTGGAAATATCCAATCCAGGTGATTTTTCAACCCCATTTTAACCATTATCTAACTATTAGACCACTAGTCTAACATAAGGAATTTGCAGTAAAGATTACTTGCAATGTTCCTTCTGTTGACAGAAATTAGCATATGCAAAAACTGTCTATATTTTTACTTCTCTATGATTATTATTGAAGGTTGGTCAAAATATATTAATATCTCTGTCAACAGATCTCAACTTTACAGGAACTAATAAACATTAGAACTTTTTTTTAATAAGTTTATTTCCTTTTATTTATTTTTTTTCATTTCATTTTCTTCCATACATTCAATCACATTATTATTTGTCTTACAAAATGGGTATTTAAACAGGTGAACATGTCTCCCTAGTACTGTTGATAAAACTACGAAATATCACGTTTTAATAGTTTAAATGATCACACCCGCTCATCTCAGACAACAAGAATCTTACTTTAGATTCTTCAAGGTCACGATCACTTCCTTTCTATGTTTGTTTTCTCTGCCACTGAACTTATCTGACTAAGCATTCCCCATAGTAAGGAATAAGTTCCATTACCGAGTTTGTGTAAAGTTCCTAGAATGTAATATATATACATAAGTAAGCAGTACATATAAGTTACTAATATGGTTTTTCATGAGTTTTCACTTTTTGTCAAAAAGATATTCTGATATTCATGAGACCAATGTTGTAATTCAGTCCAATGCTGAAGTAAGATTGTGGTACTGCCTATATCTAAAGGGAACATTATTTTCATTGGCATGGAAAAAAACTATTTTATTTATTTATTTTTATTTTAGAGAGAGATTTTTGTTATGGAGCGTTCTTAAGAGAGACAGGGAGACAAAGAGACAGAAAGTGAGAAATCACCACCCCCCCACCACCACCACCACCAGAGGAGATGGTCACGCTGCAATTTTTTCTTCTCCATTCTCCTCTCAAGGATTTGAGCACACATGCACATGCACCCAGCGTGATTTTTTAAACCACTGGGTCCAGGACTGGAACCATGGTCGACTAATGTGAGAGTCCAGTGACATAACGATTGCACCATCTCTGGTCCTGAAAAACTTTTACGTTTTTGGATATGCACATGTTTGATTAGCTCCTTAAGAAAAATAGAGAAAAAAGAAGATGAAAAGACACATTTTATGCTTATGACCAATTTCTCTCCTTTTCTGTGGCCCTTAGTAAAATATTAATAATAATTCCATGGATAATGAAAGCTGAGAATAGACTCTGTAAACAGAAGCTTTGCAAAAGTTGAGTTCTAATGTGAGAGATGTCAGTATGGTATTCCCTTAGGAGAGTACGTGTATTTACACAGAGTGCAAAGTATTTTTTTGAAATTCAAGATGGGTTTCTTGGGGTTGGGGGGAAGATCACTAAAACAAATCATCAGGATTTTGTTTTGTTTTCTCAGTGTATTGAGGATAACTTATAATGGTAAGATTATTTTTCAAAATCTGTTAGTAAAATAATATCTATAATTGATTTCACTAGGAACCTCTTTCCTAGAATAACGTTAGTCACTAATTGACTTGTGTCATTCACCTTGATTTTTTTTTATAGAGAGACAATGTACACTAGGAAATAGGATTATCTCTAAAAACTATAAATTTAAAAAATCCTTTTTAATAAATTATTTTGGGGACCTATTGTATTCTTACTGCCTAAGTAGATAACCCATTTAAAATTTAATCAAAATTAGGGAATGAAAGTATAAATAAGAAGGAATAAAACATTGAAATGCCTCCTATACATTTTAAAACAAGATTTATTAAATATTCCTAATGTTAAGTTCCGTGACAATAGATAGATGATCCTAAGTGTCAGTTAAGCAAGTGGATGAAAAATGAGTGATTTTCATCCTTCAGTTAAATATGGTGCTAAGTGGTATGTGCTAGCATTAAAAGCAAATTACTTATCACTTCAATAATCACAGCATGAGTACAGTCTATTGGAAGCTGTATTTCTAGCCTTCCTTGGTCCTCAGTTTTATTAAATAAATCAACTGATAATGCTTGGATAAGCACAAGAAAAAGCCTTGGTGGTATTGCAACATGTTCATTTTCTAAGTGCTTATTCAAGATGTCTCCAAAATGGTATTTTTTATATTTTTACTCACTTAATAATTTACACACATAAACTCACACACACATATACACACTCATGCTTCATATACATGTGTGTATATATATGTGGGTACTCATATACATCTATATGCAGTTATGTATATATATATATCTAGCTTTGGTATCCACAAGGGGATTGGTTCCTGTACTCCCACAATATCAAAATGTTCAGATGCCCAAGTCTCTCATATAACATGGTGTAGTGTTTGCACATAACCTATGCTTATCTCCTGTGTGCAATAAATCATCTCTAGATTATTTATAATACCTAATAGTGTGCAAATGCTATGGAAATAGCTGTTATAGTGTATTACTTGGGGAGTAACACCAATTTGAAAAGTCTGGAAATGTACAGTACAGATGTAACCAATGCTGTTTCCAAATATTTTTAATCAGCGATGAATAGAATCTGCAGATGTAGAACTCATAGATACAGAGGGCCGACTGTGTATCTGTGTGCGTGTGTGTGTGTTGAGACATACACACTAAAAGGCTCTGTGAAGAACAAATCCCTCTGCCACATGTCTTCCAGTTGACCATCCAGCTTATTTTAAATACCTCTAGAGATGGGGAAGGTCACCATTCCAAAGGAAGACTCTTACAACTAGGAGTTTGAAAACAGCTACTGCTGACTTTAAGATTTTATGGGAGGACTGGCAGGTGGCGTAGTGGTCAAGATGCTGGACTCACACATGGTGGACCACAGTTCAAGACCCAGACCTGAAGTGCTTTCCTGTCTCTCTCTCTGCCTCTCTCTATTCAAATTAAAATACTACTACTACTAGGACCAGCAGTTAGCATAATGGCTATGTCACTGGACTCCTATATATTCAACCACGGTTCGAGTCCTGGACCTGGTGCTTAAACTCACGTGCTTAAACTCACGCTGGATGTGCATGTGTGCGTGCCCAAGATCCCGAGAGGAGAATGGAAGAGAAGGGATTGTGGCGTGGCCATGGCCCTGGGGGTGATTTCTCACTCTCTGTCTCTTTGTCTTTCTGGCGAGTGCATGTGCCTATAGCAAAAACTTCTCAAAAAAAGTACTACTACTACTAATACTAAATTATATGGAATAAATAATATTTAAAAAGAAAGTTCATATGAGGACCAGGTTAGCAGCAGTGAAAAGCCATGCACAAGCACAGAAATGTGGGAGTCCAGTCAAGAGCGCTGTCGGATGTCCTGCCTTTCTCTTCAGCCGTTCAGAAACTTTTGCATATGTGCTGAGAATAAATCCAGGATCCAAGGACTTATCACCTGTTTCTCTGCTATGGCCCCAATCTGAGCCGCCATTGTTACTTTGTGGGACTTGAGTAATTGCTCCTTACAGGTTTCCCTGCCTCTGTTCTCCTCCCACTTTGATATATTTTCAAAGCTTTAGCTAATATAATCCTCCTCCCTTCTTAAAAGTAGATCATGCAACTATGTTGTCTGCTCTGGAAAATTTTTCTTCAGGAGAAATTATTTTAACAGCTGCTAGGAAAAATATGCACAGGTAAAGCAGAAGCAAAAACACAAATCCAAACCACCAAATCCCCCATTGGAAGAGAAACGATGTCAGCTTTTAGTTAATCATTTGGGACAAATCCTTAGAGTGTTTGAGTTAGGAGACCGTGAATGGTTCCTGGAAAATGGTATTCATCGTTGTTTATTTGAAATGTATTGATTTCTTAAAGAGTGAGAGTTCTTTTAACTCTCAACAGGGTAACCTGTTGTTATCTTCTCCCCAGCCTTTCCCAGTCAGCCAGAATCATGGACACTCGTGTGTACCTGGAATATACAGCTTGACCTGAGAACCAGTGTTTGATGTTACATATGGCTTCCAGCACTTTAGCGTGTGAAGCTGCAGTGGCACCATGGTAACTTGGCCAATGTTTTATAATGTCAGCAAAAAATATCTTATTTTCCAGTGCTACCGATGCATTTATAGTACATCAGACAGTAAGGTTCCCAATGAAAAAAGGAAAATAAAATCCCTAAATTGCATGCAACTTAAATGATTCTATCAGGTAATAATGCATGAAAATAATAAAGAAACTATGAAAATTTATTTTGAAACAATGTATATGTGAGGAACTTTTAAAAATTACTTGTGGGCCATGGAGGAGATAAAAATTGCAATCATAAGCTGTTAAGAAATTAATGATAATGAAGTAATTAGAACACTATTAAGAAACTTATGAGATGTGGCCAAAGCTATGTGTAGATAGAAATACTTCTATTATTTAAAAACATAAAAATCACAAAGATAAACAGAATATAAGAAAGAATAAATATTCAAAAGCTGAATATTACTCATTCAGACAATGGGTATAATTTAGTATTAATTTTTAAAAAGTAATAAAGTTTAACATTGTTTCCTTCTTCAGTAAGCTTGACAAGAGAAAAACATTGCAAACATACATTAGACATCAGAGAATTGTAATATAATCACAGTTAAAGAACAGTAAAACTATTAGTGGAGTTTCGTAGATATAGTTCTGTGGTGGTGAATAAAGATATTCTATATTTTATATGTGCCAAAAACAGAACTGAATTTATTTTAGAGATGTTGAATTCCTAAATAAGTGAAAATGGGAAACATTTTTAAAGAATATTGGAAAATGCCTTTCAAAAAAACCGCTGAGGCTAGGGAACCAGCAGTTAGCGTAATGGCTATGTCGCTG